TTACGTAATGAAAGCTAGCAAGCCTGACAGACTCTGTCTCGGCCAAAATGTACAGTCGGTGGAACAAATACAATCAGCTCGTAAATTAAAGCATCAAGTGGCCAGCACACCTTGATGTAGCGGCAATCAGTTTTAGAGTCGGCACGATAAGCTAACGGTATTTCCCGTACTATCAGATAAATTAAAAATGCCAATTAGTATTTGTTTATTTATTTTTAATATTTAAAGTTTCTTTCTGCGTCTGACGCATCGTAAGGCTATGTGATCAGCGTAGATCAATTGGATAGCCGAATTTTAAGACCGTGGAACTGATATAGAATGAAGTAAACAACGTCAAAGTAATGGATAAGGTAATAAAAATTGAATCAGAATACACGTGAAAACGTAGACCATTATAAAAATTTAAAGGACGACAAAACTTGCGCAGGCGCCGAATTTTAAGACCGTGGATCTGATATAGAATGAAGTAAACAACGTCAAAGTAATGGATAAGGTAATAAAAATTGAATCAGAGTACACGTGAAAACGTAGACCATTATAAAAATTTAAAGGACGACAAAACTTGCGCAGGCGCGGTGAATACATTATACGGGCCTAACTGAAGGTTCGAGTCCTCATCTTCTCATACTTCTATCAATTCTTCTGTTAGAACACTTGAAACATATTTACTTTCATTGACTTCACGAGCTTGCTATATTTCTTCCACCGACTATACCTTCTAACTTCCTAACGTCCGAATACAGGATCCTTGAATGTGAAGAGACAAAAGAACGGAAACTGAAAATCTAAAGGAGCTTGAAGAGATGAAGTTTACGAAAAAAAACTGAAGGGAAATTGGAAAGAATGTTGGCAAAGACGTATTGCCAGTGACATAATTGCCATAAATTCAATAACAACTTCAAATTGAATAAGAATTAACGAAATACCTGCAATCGATAGTAAGTTGGTTCAGAATCGAAGTCCAAGGGTTGCACCTGCGACAAGTTCTTGCGGTTCTTCGACAAATGTTCCATAGCCGATGGTCTTCTACGTTGTAATTGTGAGGGCAACTGCGGTTGTTTGCAATCCAAGCTTGCAGCCAGTCTGGTCAATTGAAATCCTTGTTGCTTTTGTTTATTCCTGGATTTCTGATGAGTATTGGAAACACTATCCGACGAGAAATCAAGTTCCTTTGTACTCTTCGTGTCTATCGAACGTTTCGAATGATCACTGTGCCTGTTTCTCACTGTCGGTAAACTTTGCCGCAGTTCCATCGAATTTCTCACATTAAGACCAGGGAGATTCGCGACTAACGCAGTTACCTGTGGCCCCTTTTGGAAAACCTATACAATAAAGGTTAAACTTTGTACCTGTTACGATGGTTCGATCGTTTATTCGATAATTTCGAAGTATTTTTTAACGGAATGTTAAACAATTCGAAGCACATAGTAGCAATTTTTCTTTTAAAACTAAGATTTTGGAGATTTCAAGATTGCAACCGTATACAGAGTGGGACAAAAACATTGTCCACCTGGAATATTTCTGTTATTCGTAATAGCATGGAAAAATGTTACATACAAAACTTGCACGATAATGAGGAAGACATAATGCGATGTAAATACTTCTTACGTGGGTGGAGGCGATTCACGTGCATCTTTCTTTCTCTTAGAGATTTTCAGTTAATCAATGCTCTTGTAATACATTAGTAAAAGTGTATCGAACATTATGGAAATTGTTGTAAATATAAACATTTAATTTTCTTTTGTTCTTTCAAAAATGAACGGTACAAAACCACGGAAACGCTCAAGATGACCTAATATTTCCCTGTGTAATACTTCCTTCCAAAAAAACGCTGATCTATTATCTTCGTTCCGTGTACCTGAACTTGTTCTTGGCGGGTCGGCGGAGGATCTGCGGAGACTTCGGCTCTACTTGGTGCCAGAAGATCCCTAACCTGTTCCTCGAGATACCCGATCCTGTGAGTCAGCCTGAGGTTATCTGATCGAAGTGTGCGGAGTGCTGCGAGGGACTCGCCTTTTCGAAGGACCACGATTTGCGCCGCATCGGGCGCAACGGCCAACAGCCTCGCCAAGTCGCTTCTGCCAGCTCCCACCACAAGTTTTCCATTCACTTCCAAGATCCTGAAGACAATATTGACTGATAAGTCTAGTAGGTTTTGCGAGTACGATTACGCTTAATTGGGTGAAACTTTTGCGCCGACGAAGGAAAAGTTGGTTCATCGGAACGAGTGGTAACGCGAAGAGATATTTCTGCTCTTCCTAGAAATTCGTGAGAATTATTTACAATCGAACTTTCTTATTTACAAGTGAAATAACTCCGGTGCAGTGTTTGGTTAAAGGGGTTTCGTTAAGTTTAAGAACAGCAGAAGGTATTTCACGCGTTTCTAAACAACGCGTTACTTTTCCTTGTTTTCGTCGTAATAACGTGCGTACGCGTGAGTTAGGCAAGAAAAGAACCAGCCTCTTTACAAATTCGGTAACTTATGTAATAAATTTTTTATTGCTGCGCAATGTTAAATAACACTTTTCACTTTTAACTTTAAGGTCTGCATCAAAACGTACAGTGTGTTTCGTTTACCTGGAAACGCAGAAATACCTCGTGGACCGTTGAAGATATGAAAGTATTGTTAATTATAATTATATTTTTAATTATAAGGGAGATTTTAATGTCAATTTAATTTTTTTTTAAATAGAATACTATGCATCTCTATTCATAGAACGATAGCTACATTTTTACTTATAATACAATCCTTGCCAACATGGCGGCCAGTAATCAGTAACTCCTCTATTTTGTAACGTTGTTACTTTTTAAAAATTGGAGGAAAGAGCTGAAGGTTGCGTATATATTCTCTGAAAAAATTGCAACTTTTCACTTAGTGGTTACCTATGAAAAAAATTCCTAATCTTTACCTATATTTAGATACCTCAGGGGTGGTGTACCCACTTGACCCTAGAGCGGTCTTCGGGTCTTTTCTGACCCACCGCCTTTTTATATTTTTAGTCATTGTTGCTGTTATCAAGTTTACGTTCCTTAACATTATTTTAAACGTTTACTGTCTAGGTTCATATGTCGCGTTGGAAACAAAAATTATTGCACATAAGGTCTTAGGTCCTTTTTCACCCAAAAGTCTTAAGCGTACAGTCAAAACAAAGAACGCATTCAGTGTAACAGAAGGTGATAAACAGATAGTTTAACAGGTATTGTGTAGCACGATCTAACTTTTTGGGATTTCGCTAATTTACGACCTTCTACTTCAATAAATCACTCTGTACTCTTCTTCAGAAGCGCCATCTTTATATACAGGGTGTGACCCAGGTAAAGTGTTACAATCTGTTTTCTCCGAAACTATTAGCGATACCGACTTGAAATTTGGACACGTTAAATGGTTCAAAATGGCTAACATTTTACTTAATTAACGTTTATAAATTCTACGTTTTTTCATTTTCATCATTCTTGTCCCATCCCAAAATTATTCTTCAACAAATTGTCCTTCGCTATAAATTTTGAACTATGCAGAATAAAAAAGAATTACGTTTGAGATAAAAGTTGTTAATCTTGACAACCTATATCAGAATAACGAAAAATTAATGTACAGTTCCATTTAAAAAAAAATTGGGGGTTGCACCCTTTCCACCCATAGGAAATTCATCCAAAGAAGTTTTGTACTCTGAAATGTCAACTCCTTTGAACCATTTAACGTGTCCAAATTTCAAGTCGGTATCGCTAATAGTTTAAGGCAGTGGTTCTCAAAAAAGTGGTTCTCTAAACTTTTATTTTTTCCAAATACGCCTCATCCTTCTGCAGCGGCACGCTACATACCTGCGTAATAAACATTCGGCGGGCAGACGGCTAGCAGAAAAAACACTTGAAAATATCAAGAACAAGCTAGCACTGTTTAGGATTCTCACGCCAGCGAAGCTATTTTTGAGAAGTCGTTTGTCAATCGATAATAAGGGCGTTGGAAATTTACTCGTCCCTTACGTAAACTCTCTCGACAATCTCAATAGCGTTCGTAGGAATCCTAAACCGAGGGTTCCTCAAGGGCCTGCCGATTGAGGTTCGTAAACCTACATGTCGCACGTAGCGGCTGGGCCCGCGGGGCACCCCGCTGCTTTGCCGAATCTACGCAGGAAACATCACTCCCACCAAGTTGCTTCCCCACTCTCGGAAAATCACGCTAAGGGCGTAAAAGAGTGGGCGGTGGAATTTCCACAAAAAAGTCTAATTGGCTTAAACGGATTTCCCGTTTAGCCAATTAGAAAAAGGTAATTCCATCGAACGGGCCTAGAGAAACTAGCTGGTGGCCCGGCGAAGCAACGAGTGCCAGTCTGCTGTGGGAGTCTAATAAGGATCGTTAGTAGTAATAAAATACCTTTTTAAAGTACACTCGCGTCTTTATTGAACACACATAATCACATCCTTCACTTCATACCTTTACTAACTGTAAAAAGCAAAAAATAATAATAATAGGGGTGCCGTGAATTTTGTTTAATGATATCAGTGTGCCGCCAGACACAAAAGTTTGAGAACCACTGGTTTAAGGTTAGGGTTACCTTGCAAATCAAGCTGACCTCGAAGTATCCCCTACAGTTCCATATGATAAAAAAAAAAAATTATTTTCAGTACATAATGTCCCTTTCTATACCAAACTCCCACAGGAAAGATTTATTCATATCTTCAACGGTCTACGAGACATTTCTGTATCTCCGGTTAAGCGAAACACACCGCATGTATCGCGCCACCCTGTTACAATTTAAATCAATATTTCCATCGAACCTCTAAATTTAATAAAAGAAACACAAGCGTCTTCTCATTCCACAACTTTTTCCTATTTTTTTTTTAGAAACACCATTATATCGTCGCCGTAGAATTTCCTAGGATTGTCATGAAAATACTTTTTGCTTCATGGGATGACCTAATATTGTACGTTGCCAAAATTACAACGAAACAATCAGAAAGCGTTGCGGGAACGACATCACCTCGACTGTATTATACTCTTGTTGTAAAAATTGAAGTAGATTCGGATACCAGGAATTGTAACGAATACTCTTGAAAGATGTACCATGGAAGCAGGTACGGAGAGAAAAGACGGGGTCATGTGAAGTTGCAGGCGCAATTAGCCGGGGCACACGGCGAACTTCCGGTGCTGTTTCACGCTACGGTGACCCGTTGGGAACCAAATGCCAAGATTGTAGTATTGTTCTACGCTGATAGCCATGTCGGGTAGCGTAACCACACAGTGTTACGCGTTATACGTTTGCCGTATACTCTCTTTCTTAATAATATTCCTTCGTTTTGTTTATCTCTCTTTTTCTATTAACTTCGTTTTGCTTCCGTTTTACTTAACTCAGCGAATGTTCCGATCTGTTACAAATCATCGGTTACTTTCAGACGCTAACCACCAAAGAAGAAGCTAGAAGCCGTTACGAGTTAGGTACTAGAGTTGCTCGTCGACAGAAAGGACACGGTTTCCTTTCTCGTTGTGCGATAATTACGTCGCACGTAGTCGTAGATTTTACCATCTTTACGATTGTACTTTAGCATCCAGTTTCGAGGAAAAGAATCTTGCGTGACTAATATTCGACGTGAAACAATTATTTAGGTTCTTGTTATTTTACCGTTTTCGTTCAGTCGCCTTGGTAATATTTCGAACTCTAAATTCTTTTTAAAATTTTGTTTTCAATAACTCCCTATTACTTTAAGAATTTTATGTGTAATGCACTTCGAAAGACATCTGGTTGATAGGAACCAATTTAAACAATTTTTTTAACTAATTACATATACTGAAATTAATATATGGCATGAACACGTTAAGCGCCGTGTCAGTCACCGGTGACTGACACTACACTTTTCGTTCGGGCCGCGTCAGTCACTCTTGACTGACGATATACAATTTAAAACATTATATTCTTCTATTAATAAATTTTAAATAATTTGGAGATCACAAAAGAACGTACCTAAATATTACTTGTCAAAAAAAAAAATTTTAACGAGTATTATTAAAACACATGCAGTCCTATCGCAACCTTACACAGATCTCTGGCCGCCAACATATCAGTGAAATCGGATATCGCGGGCTAAACGGAAAGGAAGACAAACCAGGCTTGGCGCTTAACGTGTTAAGGGTCATCTATGCATATGTGTACCTATTGCTCATCCAGGTAAAAAAAAATATTGCAAACTTTAATTATTTAAACTGGCAATTTAAAAATTACTTCATTCATACCTGTGAATCAAACTGATGTCGAGTCACGCTCGACAAAGTAGTCCAAAGGGTTCAGAAAATGTTTAGTAGTGTAGTGGTTGCCTCCTGCAACCACTTCTACAGCAACAGAACAACCGAAAATTAAAAAGACTAATCGACCTCAAACGAGGGATAGGAGACCTTCTTCAATGCAAGTGCACTCATCATGTTACATAAAGAACTCTAATGTTTCAGTCTTACGTGATTGCATTAGCCTAAAGAATCCAATTCTGACTGCTGATATTATGTGAAATAAATAAATAAATAAAAAGATAAGAGTGAAAACTTTCTACTCGAACATCGGTTTTCTCCAAAGTAATCCTATTTGGAAATGCGGAATTTTACGATGTATAGTTGGTGGAAGAGATATAGCACCGTCGTACATCACGACGTTAAGTAAAAACATCCATTGATCTAGCCGCACGCAGGGCCGTACGCGTTTTAAGCTGCGTCTACGCTATGTAACATAAAGCACGTTACATATTTTTTGAGACTGTGTAATCTTATTGAGAAAAGATTTATAATCCGGCTAAAGAGCGAAAGCATGTGAAAGAGTAAGGGTAGTTACGAGTAATAATGTAAAGGCAAGGGATGCAGCAAAGGGAGAGCGACTGCGATAGAACAATGAACAAAAGAAATGCTTTGAATTTAGCGTGGCCAAAGCTTAGACTAGATTGGTTCAACCCTTTCGCTACGGCAGATTTTACTGTGTAACGAGGGTGACTGATGGTAAATTTTTAACCATGGCTGCAAAATTTGATAACCTAGGCCGTGTCGTTTTAAAATTCGGTTTATTAAATTAAAGGTGGAACTGCACCAAAAGGCTCCACGTGTAACGAAATGTGGCGCCAATAGTAACGAAAGGGTTAAGAAATGAACTACCTACAGGCCTATAGTGAGAGTTCTCTCTGAACGCCATCCTGAGGTTTATCACTGTGGGATGCGTAGGTGAATTAACGACACGTGGATGCGGTGTATCTTTTATTACGTTCGATGCGTGGTAGTCGCACGCTCGGTACAATGGGTCGTCGTCGACTGCCTCGTACCGGGAAGA